TTGTTCTAAAGCAAAGTTCAAAAGGAGTGGCGATAAAGCATCTCCTCCTTTTAGACCATTCTGGATAGAAAATTTATCAGACAAATGTTTACCTATACGGACTTTACTATAAGTTTCGTTTAAACACATTTTAATCAGCCTGACTAATTTCGTGGGTATCCAAACTACATCAGAATATTGTATACAGTACTTCCACCCTAACACAATCATAGGCTTTCTTGAAGTTCCCTCTTTTTGTTCCTGAAATGCCAGCTGGTTTCACGTCTTATATTGTTCAGATTATCCCCATTTATTTCGCTTGGATCCGGTAGCCATTGCAATTTGGCTTGTTTTGTTTCGTCTAATAATTCTGAGCATCCTTCATCGAACCATGGCTTATGCTTCTTCGGTTCATAATAACCTAGACTCTCTTTGGCAGACATTTTTATATTCTCTAATAGTTTCCCAAGCTTTATTAACATCCACCTCAGTGTCCAAGTTTTCCAAAGCTGCAAACCTATTTGAGATTTCAACACGATACTGCTCTTTACCCTCTACCTAATTTAATTTATTGAGCTTGAACCTCTCCATATGAACCCTGTGTGCTGTTTGTTTGCTCACTGCCAGTCTTTCCCTAACCTTTGCCGCCACCAGGTAGTGGTCAGTATCACAATCTGCTGCCCTCAGTGATCGGACATCAAGTATACTTGAGTGGCGTCTCCTATCTATCAAAATATGGTCTACTTGATTGTGCTTCATCCCATCAGTAATGTTTATTTATGAATATTTATGAATGCTACGATGTAGGAACATTGTACTTTTGAAATACAGTTTGTATTAATGACAATAAAGAATAGATTAAGTTATGGAAACGCCATGATTCAGCTGAGAATTCCTTTATTTTACCGTGGATGGGAGGGGGGAGGGAGCCAGAAAATCTGTTTTCAAATTTAGACTCCAACTTCCAAAAAGTGGTAGTTATCTTGAGATGAGTCACTTCCTTTGCACAATGATGACTTTATAAAATAATTTCAATCGGTTGTATTATTTATAAAGATGGAGTTACCAGTTTTATGTGAGATGAAGATAACGACCTACCAGACTACACGATGTCTTCACCAGAGTACCACAATATAAATTATCTGTTGGGTACTTTCCAATAAGTGAATGTATGTACACTGTATATTTCATCATGTCGCTGACGTCTGCATGTATAGTTCAATCTTGCAGACATCGCATAAGCAGTTAAGAAAATCTCAAATGTGATCACATTGATTTCCTAGAATGCTTCCCCTCATGGCACTGATAAAAATACTTCAAGCGAGAACAACAATGTTGAAAGCGAATCATTGGATATAGATAGCACTTATCACTGCAGTCACGTGGTGTGCCTATATACCTATCAGTTTGTCCGGGAAACCACCAGGTTCACATCTTGCAACAACTTCGCTTGCGACGTTGCCGTTATTTTTGTTTAGTTATGTATCGTACAGCATTCGATGAGTATGGCGAATTATTTCTTAAACAGGGTAGGGAACATTTCATTAAGAAATGTGCTATTTTGTGTGTCATAAAGTTAAAATTTCGCAGTTCTGGCCGCAAAAAAGTCATCCGTTTTAAAAATTTTGGACGCAAAGGAAAACACGCAGAAGAAATAGCGATTCGTCGAATAGAAAATGAAGAAAACGGAGGAGAATGGTAAGAAACTGATACAGAGCTGTGACATCCAAACACAAGGCTATACTGAACCTATTATTAGGAAAACAAAGCGGTCGACTTCACATAAAAGCTGTATTTAATGTCCTTTTCTGTACCCGCATTTCACTTGCCCGAACCGCCACTGTGCATTTCTACTCTGAAATATTTTGCTTGGCTCACGAAACACAATTTAATAACTGCTGGAGAGATTTTCGAAATTAACTTCCACACTTACAGCTACTGGCTGGAAGACGGAGGAGTCGGGGTTCGATTCCCGGCGAAGTTCAGAGATTTTCTCTCCTTCACCGCTTCCATACCGGCCCTGGAGCTCGCTCAAGACTCCCATCCAATGAGAAGTGGGCGCTTTTCCCCAGGAGTAAAGCGGCCGGGCCGTCAAACTAATCACTGACCTCCATCTAGTACAAAGTTTAAGTATTTTAATTTTAATATTACCCTTCCACCTAAGTTTACGTCTACCAAGCGGTCTCTTTCCTCTTTTCCCCGCATATAATAGTGAACTTCACAGAGGATATGATGACATAGATAAGGCCACACGTACAGAAGGTCCGGGTTTCGAGCCCGATCGCATCAGAAGTGACTTGTGAGACCTTGAGTTTCTCTCCCCCCCTTCTAATAAGAGACCGTGTAATCTGATAGACAGGCTCGAAACTATACGAGGCCACATCCCGGAATATCGCTATATCAAAATGGCCTTCTTCGTATCCCCAAGCTCTTGATAGTTATAACTTTCAGAATAGAGCCTATTAGCCCTATACCTTAATCCAACGCAACGTTAAGCTGTGATATGTCAATTTTGATGATAGGCACAGTATTTAGCGATGCGGTGTGAACTGCAGAGGTAAGACGCGCCGTATTACATGGTAAAATAGATAGAAGAACATATGGGAGAATGTAGAAGGAAGTGGCCGTGATCTATTTGAAGGTACCAATTATCCCGGAAGCTTAAGTTGTCAATCCACACACTAATCTTATCTTCATGTGCATTGTTACCTCACCGGGGGGTGGAGGGTGGAAAAATGAGTTATTACGAGATAGGAGTTCAAATGTATAAAAAATTTGTTCCTAACTGCGCAGCCGGGAGGTGGAGTCGAACAGTATGAGAATTTGTGAATCAGAAAAGATGTGGAACAGGCGGCTGTGGCCTATTTTAACACCCTATCCAACAACTTCCTTGGAAGGAGTGAGGACACGAAAAGGCTCGGTCAAGGCAGCCGGTCTCCTTGCCGACCATAACAAAGACCCCCATTTTCACTGTTTTCCAGGACTGCAACTCGAGTGGAGATGTACATCTCATTTTCCCCATGTAACAACTGCTGCGAACGGATCGCGGACTTCATAGCGAAGCATCCAGGATGTTGTGTTCGAATCGCCTTCTCCTGTTTGTATCGATATACCGAAGAGATTCACTGTGAGGCCCTACGAAAACTGAAGTTGAACCAGGAAATCACTCGGTTGGATGTGTTCAAAGCCGCAGACTGGCGTCTGTTGAGGTTTCGTGGGCATCTCCACCTGTCACCGTACGCGCGGGAGAACATGAACAGATGGGATGGCATCTGGCGAGATCGGCTTACAGCGATCCTGAACCCGGTAAGTCTGGTTTCTCTTGTCTCAGATCTGAGGTTTCCACGGCGCTGAAGACTCATATTGTGGCCTTTGCAGGCTGTGATCCCTCTGGTCTGAAGAGGGAAAAATATTTCTTTTCTGTACCTGGTTCCCCCCCCCAATTTCGTGAGGTGGAGTGAGACTGAGTCCACTTGGTACGTCTGCCACTAACTGGTCTCTTGTACCAGCACCCGGATGATAGAAAAGTATGGAGTATTTGGTGGAATGGGGGACACGTGGTAGCGTAGTTGGTTGAGGCACGATGCTACAAGACAGAAGGTCGATTCCCGATGAGGTCATTGGATTTTTCAATTGCCCTAATCCTTCCAGCCGCACTGTGGCCCTGAGGTCGACTCAGCCTCTAACAGAAATTAATCTTCCTGGGGGTAAAGAGCGGC